AGAAGCACCTATGGCAGCGATTACACCTGTAAGTCTTTCTGAGTAAATCTCTATTAAGGGTATTTTCACACTTGGTCCCTTTCAGCCAATTTTTGTGAACTCTGTGCGGTTCGCCAAATTTTTTGTGCAGTGCGAACACTCCAATGGAACTCAGACCCCACTATTCTGGTTCGAGCCAGTTTGCACTGTTCTGTGAAGGGAGTAGTACACAGCGTTGTACGAGATCTTCAGTTTCTTGGCAATTTCTCGCATGGAATAGCCTTCATTTCTCAGAACAAGAATAGACTAAAGAGTTTCAGAAGAAAGTTATTTGTTTCTGGCCATTTTGAACCTGTAATCTAACCCACAATTGCTGATGCTCCAGATACTCAACTAGTCTCAAGAAGGCCAGTTTTATTGCTTCTTTAATCAGCACAACAGTTTTCAGCTGTGCTAACATAATTGCAAAATGGTTTTCTAATGATCAATTAGCCTTTTAAAATGATAAACTTGGATTAGCAAACACAACGTGCCATTGGCACACAGGACTGATGGTTGCTGATAATGGGCCTCTGTACGCCTATGTAGATATTCTATTAAAAATCAGCCGATTCCAGCTACAATAGCCATTTACAACAAAAAAATTGCTTTTCTTTCGAAAACAAGGACATTTCTAAGTGACCCCAAACTTTTGAATGGTAGTGTACATTTTATAAATGTTTCATTCAGGCTGTAACACAATCAAATGTGGGAAAAGTCAAGGGGTGTGAATACTTTCTGAAGGCACTGTATCCGTCTGGCTCTTCATTTTCTGTTTGTTTGCCTTTGGGCAGGTCTGGTTTCACTGAGTTATTCCTAGAACATTCCAACTTAAGTGAAGTTACATAAGGAAATCTTAAGTGAGATTGCATAAGGGATTTGTATTCTCATCTGAGCTGAAATCTAAAGAGGTTATTACATACAACCAACTGTAGAACTATACTAAGCCAATTGGAGAACTGTACTCAAATAGCCCTAGATAAATGATTAGTATAATAAATGCATCACTACATGTGCAGTTAAGAACACTGTTTTGGCAGTCAAAAACATGAAAGGACAAGGACTGGCACTACAGTAAAAGTTCTACATTACATTTTCGTAAAGTGTTGATGATAAATAGTGTAGTCAGTCCGTGTGGAGTTTGTATGTTACATGCTCTTTTCATGCCATGCTGTCATGTTGGCAAACAGCAGTGAATATTGTCAGGTAGCTGTGATGGAGCAGGTAACCCCGCTACTGGCCTTCCTCTCTGTTCCTCTCCTCCATCCCTCTCTCGTTCTCTGTTTACACCCTGTCTGTTTTGCTTCATTCCACTCTACCTTTCCATAATCTGTTTTTCAGCGATCGTGTGAGTATGTTTATAGAAGAAAGCGGGAGAGAGTGAGTTAATAGTTTGGTCTGATTGAGGAGGTGGAAAGGGCTGATAGTAAAAAGAAGGGAGGAGAAAGAGAGAGTGAGAGGGCTGAGAAAGAGGGAGTAGGGGGAAACGTATGGGTGGGGGGAGAAGAGGTATAAAAGTATAAAAGCCTTGCTATACAGAATGAAGAAATATCCCCAGAGAGAAAGAGAGAGAGAGAGAGAGAGGGAGATTGTGAAAGAGACTTTACCAAGAGATTTAACACCATAACTATCTTCTTAGGGTAAGTACAACTATCTCATAGGTTTATAGCTACATAACAATATACTATCCGCAATATACTAAAAACAAGATATACATTTCCTATTGGTACCTTTGACATAACTCCAACAGAAATCCCATAAAGGAGGTTAATGTTTAGGTGTAAATACTGGCTGTCACTTTTTGCAGCCTAGAATTAAGTGTAACTGTAAATAACAAAACATACACATTTTGATCCATTAAAATAGTGATACAGTGAGATGCATGGGTAGACCCTTCAGTTTGTTTGATGTTCTACTGAGCGCTGAGTGAATAAGGGTAATTAGCCTGGTGGTGCAGTTCTGTGGGTTAGTAGCATCCTGTATGGTAAAGTTTTTTTTCCCAGTAAGGTGAGCACATTCTAGCCTGGGGGAGGGGGGGGGGGGGGGGGGGGGGGGGGGGGGGGGGGGGGGGGGGGGGGGGGTCTCAGGGCCTGCTGTGTGCCCGCCAGGCTGCAGACGCGTGTAAAAGGCTGCAGACGATGCTGTCAGCACCTCATTAACACAGATATACACACCCACTCCTTGATATTCTCGTAACCCCTTTTGCCTGCAAGTTCTGTGAACTCCCTCCCTCCCTGTGGGCCTGCTGTGCCACATGCCTGGGGGTTGACGTGGGCTGTTGGGTGTGTAAAGGAGGGGCATTGCACCAGGTTGTCATCCAAACCCTACAAACACAGGAGGCAACAGAGAGGGTATGCCATGGGGCACATGGATGGATGTGGGTGAATGTGGAGGGTTTTGTTCGGAAGGTTGGGGTCTTGTGGACATCTGGGAGGGCTATTTGTAAAGGTGTCAAAGACCTGGCAAGATCACTGTGTGTGTGTGTGTGTCACTGCTGCTTTGCTGCCAGCACTATGACTGTTTTTCTCCCTCAGTATGTTTCTCTTCTCTATCCGTCTCTTTCTGTGTCTAACTTGACATGTTCATTATCATTCAGCAATGGAACTGACTAGTTACTACAGTATACCCATATACAGTGCCGTGAAAAAGTATTTGCCCTCTTTCTGATTTTCTCTTTTTGCATATTTTTGATACTGAATGTTATCAGATCTTCAACCAAAACCTAATATTAGATAAAGGGAACCTGAGTTTACTAATAACAACAACAACAAATATTTATTTAATTAACAAAGTTATGCAACACTCAATTCCCCTGTGTGAAAAAGTAATTGCCCCCTTACACTCAATAACTTGTTATGCCACCTTTAGCTGCAATGACTGCAACCAAATGCTTCCTGTAGTTGTTGATCAGTCTCTCACATCGCTGTGGAGGAATTTTGGCCCACTCTTGCATACATAACTGCTTAATGCTAGAGATATCTGTTTTTTTGCATGGGCAGCGTCTCAATCCACCACATCCACCGATATCGCCCTTCTGCATCTGAGGTGAATCGTGTCAGAGCTAGAGCGGTGTTTTGTCAGGCCATGAGACATCTCACGGAAACGTCTGTAGTGTCCAAACGGTTTGGGCTACACACTAATAGGACCCATCTGTGGAAAGCTGAGACTTTCACGAACAAGATGGTGACTCGTCTGAAGGTCCCAGTAAAAAAAATTATGGAAGTATATATGGAGAAAGTTTAGTGCCTAAAATAAGGGGATAAATACAAATATTATTTATATCTCTCAGATATAAGACAGACACTTCAAACAAAGTTCCTTTAGATTTTGGGGGGGGGACTATCTGTTGTTCCATGTAGTGAATGTTATTCAATGTGTTTCCTTTGGCTAATAGCAGTAATGCCACATTCAATGTTTCATCCAATAATTGTATTTATTTTTGTTGAAACCTTAAGGGGTCTTAATTCAAAATCAAATAGCTAAATAATCCTTGGTATGACCATCTTAAAACAATTCCATATGTTAGCTTAGAACTCCCCCCTCCCCCCCGGCTTAGACAGGGCATAGACTCTAGAGGGTTAACTCAGCGACATTTGTGGGTTTTCAAGCATTAACTGCTCGTTTCAATTCCTGCCACAACATCTCAATTGGGATTAAATCTGGACTTTGACTAGGCCATTCAAAAACTTCAAATGAGTTGCCTTTTAACAATTTTAATGTAGACTTGATTGTGTGTTTTGGATCATTGTCTTGCTGTATGACCCAGCTGCGCTTCAACTTCAGCTCACACAAGGATGGCCTGACATTCTCCTATAGAATTCTCTGATACAGAGGAGAATTCATGTTTCCTTCTATTAAGGCAAGTCGTCCAGGTCCTGAGGCAGCAAAGCATCCCCAAATCATCACACTACCACCACCATGCTTGACCGTTGGTATGAGGTTCTTACTGTGGAATGCAGTGTTTGGTTTTCGCCAGACATAATGGGACCCATCTCATCCAAAACATTGACCCAGGTTTGCCAAAAAACACATGCAAGCACCTGGATGATCATCAAGACTCTTGGAAGAATGTTCTATGGACAGATTATATAACTTTTTGGATGACATGGGTCCCATTAAGCCTGGTGAAAACCAAACCCTGCATTCCACAGTAAGAACCTCATACCAGTAACACATTTTTAGTTTTGGAATGGCCTAGTCAAAGTCCAGACCTAATCCCAATTGAGATGCTGTGGCAGGACTTGAAACGAGCAGTTCATGCTTGAAAACCCAAAAATGTCGCTGAGTTAAAGCAGTTCTGCATGGAAGAGTGGGACAAAATTCCTCAACGGCGACATGAGAGACTGATCAACAACTACAGGAAGTGTTTGGTTGGAGTCATTGCAGCTAAAGGTGGCACAATCAGTTATTGAGTGTAAGGGAGCAATTACTTTATCACACAGGGGCAAAGGGTGTTGCATAGCTTTAATTATTAAATAAATTATATAAGTATGTAATTGTTGTGTTATTTGTTCACTCAGGTTCCCTTTATCTAATATTAGGTTTTGGTTGAAGATCTGATAACATTCAGTATCACAAATATGCTAAAGTAGAGACAATTAGAAAGGGGGCAAATACCTTTTCACAGCACTGTATGCCCATAGAAACTCTGTCTGTACATTCCTGTCTGTACATCACGAGGGACCCTAAACTCCAGTCATACAAAAATAACATTGGTTTTGTGAATTTGTTTGCCCTCTACTCTAGAAATAAATAAATGTATAGGCCTAGATATTATTATTTTTTGTTGACATTGAGAAATAGTGTGTAGTCAATGGATTTATGGCTGCGTTAACATGTACATGAACCTACATACAGACCCATTTAGAGTCTTTACCACCAGTTCACTCATTTTATAGCTCAGTCACAGTCCGTAATGTACGGTAACGTCATGTGCTCTCTCCATGCCATCTTTCTGTTGTGGTGGTGGTATTATGACACATTTTAACATCGGTCTTCTCTCCAGCAGACCAAGAGACCGACAGACAGCCAGAGTGAGGATGAGGACTCTCCTCCAGTGTGTGGCCCTGTGTGTCACCATCTCTCTCTGCGTCTGCTTCGGTACATTTTTACAAATCAACACTATGTCAATTCATAATTCATAAACTGATGATCTACAGTGATCAGTCACTAATAACATTCCCCCTCTTTTCCACAGATTCTCAAGAAAGCACAGAATCATTTGAAGGTGATTGACCTTCAGATTCTTATTGCAGTAAAACATCCCCACACATTTCATGTATTATAAAAACACAATATTTGCACATTTTTTATGTTTATTTCATCTGATTTATAATCCCAGACTATCTAGGCCATTCAGTGAATTCAATATGATTTTGTCACTGAAATCAGTATGCCCACCCCTGTTGAGATGGGGTACTTTAATCTAGTAAAATTGTTTTATTTAATTCTATTACATTCCAGATGTGTTTGTCAGTCCATTCCGAGCCAACTCATTCATCAACCCAGAGAGTCCACAGCGGGGAAGCACCTACAGCACTTACAGGAGGTACCACACACACGAGCACTGGCCTACACACAATACCCCATAATGTCAAAGCTGAAATGTCTTGAGTCAATAACTATTCAACCCCTTTGTTATGGCAAGCCTAAATAAGTTCAGGAGTAAAATGTGCTAAAAAAGTCACATAATAAGTTGCATGGACTCACTCTGTGTTCAATAATAGTGTTTAACATGATTTTTGAATGACTAACTCATCTCTTTACCTCACACATATAATTATCTGTAAGGTCCCTCAGTCAAGCAGTGAATTTCAAACACAGATTCAACCACAAAGATCAGGGAAGTTTTCCAATGCCTCACAAAGAAGGGCACCTATTGGTAGATTGGTTTAAAAAAAATGAATAAAGCAGACATTGAATATCCCTTTGAGCATGGTGAAGTTATTAATTATACTTTGGATGGTGTATCAATACACCAGTCACTACAAAGATACAGGCTTCCTTCCTAACTCAGTTGCCGGAAATGAAGGAAACTGCTCAGGGATTTCACCATTAGGCCAATGGTAACTTTAAAACAGTTATGGAGTTTAATGGCTGTGATAAGAGTAACTGAGGATGGATCAACAACATTGTAGTTATGACACAATACTAACCGAAAAAGTGAAAAGAAGGAAGCCTGTACAGAATAAAAAATATTCAAAAACATGCATCCTGTTTGCAACAAGGCACTAAAGTAATGCTGCAAAACAAAGCAATTAACCTTTTGTCCTGAATACATAGTGTTATGTTTGGGATAAATCCAATACAACACATTAAAGAGTACCACTCTTTATATTTTCAAGCATAGTGGTGGCTGCATAATGTTCTGGATATGCATGTAATCATTAAGGACTGGGGAGTTTTTCAGGATAAAAAATTAACAGAATAGAGCTAAGCACAGGCAAAATCCTAGAGGAAAACCTGGTGCAGTCTGCTTTCCACCAGACACTGGGAGATTAATTCACCTTTCAGCTGGACAATAACCTAAAACACAAGGCCAAATCTATACTGGAGTTGCTTACCAAGACGACAGTGAATGTTCCTGAGTGACAGAGTTACAATTTTGACTTACAGTACCAGTCAAAGGTTTGGACACACCTACTGTAATCATTCAAGGGTTTTTCCTTATTTTTACTATTTTCTACATTGTAGAATAATAGTGAAGACATCAAAACTATGAAATAACACATATGGAATCATGTAGTAACCAATAAAGTGTTAAACAAATCAAAATGTATTTTATATTTGAGATTCTTCAAATAGCCACCCTTTGCCTTGATGACAGCTTTGCACACTCTTGGCATTCTCTCAACCAGCTTCACCTGGAATGCTTTTCCAATAGTCTTGAAGGAGTTCCCACATATGCTGAGCACTTGTTGGCTGCTTTTCCTTCACTCTGCGGTCCAACTCATCCCAAACCATCTCAATTGAGTTGAGGTTGGGTGATTGTGGAGGCCAGGTCATCTGATGCAGCATTCCATAACTATCCTTCTTGGTCAAATTCTAAATAAATCACTGACAGTGTCACCAGCAAAGCACCCCCACACCATCACATCTCCTCCTCCATGCTTCACGGTGGGAACCACACATGCAGAGATCATCTGTTCACCTACTCTGCGTCTAACAAACACACGTCGGTTGGAACCAAAAATCTTAAATTTGGACTCATCAGACCAAAGGACAGATTTCCACCAGTCTAATGTCCATTGCTTATGTTTCTTGGCCCAAGCAAGTCTCTTCTTATTATTGGTGTCCTTTAGTAGTGGTTTATTTGCAGCAATTCGACCATGAAGGCCTGATTCACGCAGTTGATGTTGAAATGTGTCTGTTACTTGAACTCTGTGAAGCATTTATTTGGGCTACAATTTCTGAGGCTGGTAACTCTAATGAACTTATCCTCTGCAGCAGAGGTAACTCTGGGTCTTCCTTTCCTGTGGCGGTCCTCATGAGAGCAAGTTTCATCATAGCGCTTGATGGTTTTTGCGACTGCACTTGAAGAAAGTTCTTGACATTTTCCGGATTGACTGACCATGTCTTAAAGTAATGATGGACTGTCGTTTTCTATTTGCTTATTTGAGCTGTTCTTGCCATAATATGGTCTTGGTCTTTTACCAAATAGGGCTATCTTCTGTATACCACCCCTACCTTGTCACATCACAACTGATTGGCTCAAACGCATTAAGAAGCATATGTGGGAACTCCTTCAAGACTGTTGGAAAAGCATTCCAGGTGAAGCTGGTTGAGAGAATGCCAAGAGTGTGCAAAGCTGTCATCAAGGCAAAGGGTGGCTACTTTGAAGAATTTCAAATATTACATATATTTTAATTTGTTTAACACTTTTTTGGTTACTACATGATTCCATATGTGTTATTTCATGGTTTTGATGTCTTCACTATTATTCTACAATGTAGAAAATAGTAAAAATAAAGAAAAACCCTTGAATGAGTACGTGTGTCCAAACTTTTGACTGGTACTGTAAATCTGCTTGAAAATCTATGGTAAGACTTGAAAATGGTTGTCTAGAAATGATCATTAACTATTTTGACAGAGCTTGAAGAATTTTGAAAATAATAATTGGCTAATATTGTACAATCCAGGTGTGCAAAGCTCTTAGAGATTTACCCAGAAAGACTCACAGCTGTAATCACTGCCAAAGCTGATTCTAAGATGTATTGGCACAAGGGTGTGAATACTTACAGTGGGGAGAACAAGTATTTGATACACTGCCGATTTTGCAGGTTTTCCTACTTACAAAGCATGTAGAGGTCTGTAATTTTTATCATAGGTACAGTTCAACTGTGAGAGACGGAATCTAAAACCTCCCCCTGTGGTCCTCTGTAGCTCAACTGGTAGAGCACGGCGCTTGTAACGCCAAGGTAGTGGGTTCGATCCCCGGGACCACCCATACACAAAAATGTATGCACGCATGACTGTAAGTCGCTTTGGATGAAAGCGTCTGCTAAATGGCATATTATTATAAAACAAAAATCCAGAAAATCACATTGTATGATTTTTAAGTAATTAATTTGCATTTTATTGCATGACGTAAGTATTTGATACATCAGAAAAGCAGAACTTAATATTTGGTACAGAAACCTTTGTTTGCAATTACAGAGATCATACGTTTCCTGTAGGTCTTGACCAGGTTTCCACACACTGCAGCAGGGATTTTGGCCCACTCCTCCATACAGACCTTCTCCAGATCCTTCAGGTATCGGGGCTGTCGCTGGGCAATACGGACTTTCAGCTCCCTCCAAAGATTTTCTATTGGGTTCAGGTCTGGAGACTGGCTAGGCCAGGCTCCTTAGTTGCCCTGGCTGTGTGTTTCGGGTCGTTGTCATGCTGGAAGACCCAGCCACGACCCATCTTCAATGCTCTTACTGAGGGAAGGAGGTTGTTGGCCAAGATCTCGCGATACATGGCCCCATCCATCCTCCCCTCAATACGGTGCAGTCGTCCTGTCCCCTTTGCAGAAAAGCATCCCCAAATAATGATGTTTCCACCTCCATGCTTCACGGTTGGGATGTTGTTCTTGGGGTTGTACTCATCCCTCTTCTTCCTCCAAACACGGCGAGTGGAGTTTAGACCAAAAAGCTCTTTTTTTTTCTCATCAGACCACATGACCTTCTCCCATTCCTCCTCTGGATCATCCAGATGGTCATTGGCAAACTTCAGATGGGCCTGGACATGCGCTGGCTTGAGCAGGGGGACCTTGCGTGCGCTGCAGGATTTTAATCCATGATGGCGTAGTGTGTTATTAATGGTTTTCTTTGAGACTGTGGTCCCAGCTCTCTTCAGGTCATTGACCAGGTCCTGCCGTGTAGTTCTGGGCTGATCCCTCACCTTCCTCATGATCATTGATGCCCCACGAGGTGAGATCTGGCATGGAGCCCCAGACCGAGGGTGATTGACCGTCACCTTGAACTTCTTTTATTTTCTAATAATTGCGCCAACAGTTGTTGCCTTCTCACCAAGCTGCTTGCCTATTGTCCTGTAGCCCATCCCAGCCTTGTGCAGGTCTACAATTTTATCCCTGATGTCCTTACACAGCTCTCTGGTCTTGGCCATTGTGGAGAGGTTGGAGTCTGTCTGATTGAGTGTGTGGACAGGTGTCTTTTATACAGGTAACGAGTTCAAACAGGTGCAGTTAATAGAGATAATGAGTGAGAACAGGAGGGCTTCTTAAAGAAAATCTAACAGGTCTGTGAGAGCCGGAATTCTTACTGGTTGGTAGGTGATCAAATACTTATGTCATGCAATAAAATGCAAATTAATTACTTAAAAATCATACAATGTGATTTTCTGGATTTTTGTTTTAGATTCCGTCTCTCACAGTTTAAGTGTACCTATGATAAAAATTACAGACCTCTACATGCTTTGTAAGTAGGATAACCTGCAAAATCGGCAGTGTATCAAATACTTGTTCTCCCCACTGTATGTAAATGACATTTTTGGAATTTTATTTTCAATAAATTTGCTAAAATTTCTAAACATATGTTTTCACTTTCTCTTTATGGGGTATTGTGTGTAGATGGGTGAGAAAAAATATAAATTTAATCCATTTTGAATGCCGGCTGTAACACAACAAAATGTGGAAAAAGTCAAGGGATATGAATACTTTCTGAAGACACTGTAGGTCTCTGTGTTCTTTGTTTATCTGTGTTTCATAATGGTTGACTGTGATTATAGTTTACTTGTGTCTGTGTTTCAGAACGATGAAGTCTCCAGCGGAGAGGCGCTCAGAGACATGTGAGGACTACTCTCCCTGTCGCTTCTTTGCCCATCGCTATGGTTACCAGATGGCCTATCAGAGATATTTTGGAGCCAGGAATCCAGGCACGACGGGGACCCGTAGATTCTGAGTCCCTGTCCCTCTTATCATAACAATTATTCCTGCTATTGATTTACTGTATGCTCATTCAACACACCCTGACATTACATAACAGGATATTGGTCCGGTGATGTAACAGTAAATGCTGTATAACAAATATATGAAAACATATCAGTAAATCAGTGAACAATATTCTTGCACATTTATATAATTCAAGCTCCATTTATTGTATAACTTTATAGCCTACTCACAATCACCACACCCTCAAAGAATAACTGCTTTCAGAAATCTGCATTTGTGAAGATTAGCTTCACACCCAACTCCATTGTTCCCTGTTTCAGTCCACACTAAGACATTAGTCTCTGTCTAACCCATATGTATTTATATGTATTAAAGAGTTTCATACATTCATTGTCTAATCCTATGATGTCACGATATTCCTCAGAGGGGCTTAGTAACCTTACTTGTGGGCTGTAGAATTCCACCTCATTTGGTTCCACGTGTTACCAAATTTCAGCTGGATAGGATTTGAATAGGGAGCAGATATGTGAACGCTAATAGCTGTCCCAGTATGACCAGTGTGGTAGCATCAAACCAGAAAAATGTAGTGTGGTAACAATAAAAGCCAAGGGAAGCTACATCTTTGCACCAGCATGACAAAGTTTGCACCTGTTTTTAAACTGTGCAGCAACTGTTAATGATGTTCAAACTCAGTTACTATTTGTTTGATTATCCAGTGGTTTGTATGGCCTCATCTTCCACTTTTGGAATGTAAATGTGTATATTTTTTGTCCTTTTTTTCCTAACCTTTGTAAGTGGGAGCATCCATGGTGTCAATAGAAAATGTTAATTTCCAGGTCACATACAAAAATAAGTAGTCAGCTGGTCACTGTTTTTGTAGACAAGATGCAGCTCCTTACCGTACAATGAGAACCAGAGGTAATCTGAACACAGTGAATGTCAGTCTCTAGAAGACGAGAGAGACAGCCACAAGCAGGACACTGGATCTGGTCATGGCACACCCACGAACGGCCAATCACATTGATGTTTTTTGTAATGCCGCAGAACTAGGGCTGTGGCGGTCACAACATTTCGTCAGCAGGTGATTGTCAAGCAAATAACTGTCGGCCTCACAGTAATTGACGTTAATTAACAAACACATTTAGCATCTCCTGGCTTCCACACATAGCGTACAAGCCACTGATGCAGACCTTTGGAACATCTACATTTAAAAAAGTATAATAAATCCATGTAATATAGCCTACACCTTCACAATAAATCCATTATTTATTTTAGACAGGTCTAAAGAAGCATGATATGAAGAAAATGTAGTCTATTTCAGAAGAACAGAATAGCATACTCTGAGTTGTCCTTATGTTAGGTCCTGATCTGGCTATGCCAAATAGCTGTGGGCTACACTAGTTCATTTAGCAGACAGGATTTGTTTAGAATTCCGTGGAATTATTTTATATTATTTTATAATATGAAGAATACAATTGAACAAAGCTGAATAAAATAGAAAGGATATGTTCTCCAAACGATTTGAGGGAGTGCGCACATGCGGCTATTCTGTGTTGAGCGGTTAACAAAGAAATAGGTACTCCTATATGCTTAATTTAGAGTTATTAATGTAACTTTAGTTGTTCTACAAACGTTGGGCTATATGTTTTGATTTTTTATACATTGTAAGGCTGCATGTCGCTTGAAAGGCATGAGCTCTGCTTTGTTTTTTGCGCAGGCTGTACACACTTTGCCGTAATGCACCCTAAAAAATCCATACCTTTTGCGGCCAGTGTCCGTTGTGCCCTTGGCCCGGAGTGCTGCGTTCCGAAGCACTTCTCACTCACATGGCTCTCCATCACTGATCAGGTCTTTCTCACAGGCTACAAGTGAAGACAGACACATCCGGGACGCAACTGCGTGCGTCCTTATCCAATTCCAAAGTGCATATTGAAGATATTGGAAGAACTGTACACATTTACTATTCATCAGCCAACAAGATGAGTAGGCCTAATGAACAGAAAAAGCACTACCCTATGTCAATCTACTATCCCCCATAGTACAAAAGTTGACCTATTCTATTCTGTGCAATAAATAAATATTCCAAACATAGTCTGGGACATTTGTGGGATGCGATAGATCCCAAATTAATACAACCACTAGCCAATGTGGCTGACACAACAGATCAGAACGTTTAGCTTTAAATGTTGATAAACTATTAGGCTATATCTTCACATTTTAAGCGCAGCAATGCACACATGGCAGTAGGCTATAAGCACGAATGTTCCATTAGTGGGCGCACAATTGGTCCAGCGTCGTCCGGGGTAGGGGAGGGAATGGCCAGCAGGGATGTAACTCAGTTGGTAGAGCATGGCGTTTGCAACGCCAGGGTTGTGGGTTCGTTTCCCACGGGGGACCATTATGAAAAATTTAAAATAATGTATGCACTCACTAACTGTAAGTCGCTCTGGATAAGAGCGTCTGCTAAATGACTAAAATGTAAATATAGGCCTATTGGCTAGGCTACATGAGGTGTGCGACTACGATCATAAAAGTCTAAAAAAAAGGCATCATTCATAAGTGATAATATATAATTCACAAGTGATAGGCTAATATTGTCACCCATCAGACTATTCTTGATTTAATCTTGTCTTTACATATACTAAATAATATATGTGTCAAATTTGTTTTGATTTAGAATGGATCATTATCATACACCTGTCTCGAAACATGGGCAGCGGAAAAAAATACATTTTCTTGCATTTTCTTGCAAGCCATGTAGGCTATACTACTGTTGTAAAGATAAGCAATGTGCTTAATATTAGGAAAGTTGAGAAATAAATATAGTAGGCCTAGCCTATAGAAAGCTGATGGGATCCTCCTCTTTTTAATAGAGGCCATCATTCTGTTTTCTCGTGCAATTGCATTGGCTATAGAAATGTTGCGCAACATTAGCTCATGGGCTCTCATTAAGTGTTTGAATAGATTTTCGATAACATTTGCATTGATGTCAGAGTGATTAGAGGGACAATAGAGTGCTGAGTACCAGGCAGTTAGCAAGTTTGGTAGGCTACTAATGACCATCAGCAGCATCAGAGCTTGGAGAAGCCTAACTACCATGACTAAATGGTCTCGTGGATTTTGACTGCCTTCATGACTCGTGACCCTATGCAGAACCAAAATGTTCATAATTAAAGCTTTGCTAGGTTGGATTTATGAACTTTGTCCCTGCATGGAGGAACGACACAAGCACTGACCCAGATGCTGAAATTACACCCCACATTGTTAAGGCCACTTCAGCAGCCCAAAAGTCTGACTTGGAAAGAAACAGAGAGACCAAAATATAGACGGAAATTTCCCTTAAGGGTGAGGTCTTTACATAACGCAACATTCTGCAACGCTGTCAAGCACTAATGTGCTGCTTAAGATGTTGAACATGAGTGGGGAGAAGGCAACGAGTAATAGAATAGAATATAATGAAGCAGAATATAATAGAATGAAGCAGAATAGAATAGAATGAAGCATAATATAATAGAATGAAGCAGAATAGAATAGAATGGAGCAGAATAGAATAGAATGAAGCAGAATAGAATAGAATGGAGCAGAATAGAATAGAATGAAGCAGAATATAATAGAATGAAGCAGAATAGAATAGAATGGAGCAGAATAGAATAGAATGAAGCAGAATAGAATAGAATGGAGCAGAATAGAATAGAATGAAGCAGAATATAATAGAATGGAGCAGAATAGAATAGAATGAAGCAGAATAGAATAGAATGAAGCAGAATATAATAGAATGAAGCAGAATAGAATAGAATGGAGCAGAATATAATTATGTTCTACTTCAGTAGTTGAACAATTTATGTGTTTTAGTTTTTATATGCCTATCAATGCTCCATACAGGCACTGGATATACCATACCATGTGTATTACTGGTGAATGAATATACAAATCAACTAAAAATTCATATGTAGGCCTACACATGCTTGAACACCGCAATTCCTCAAACACTTTTGTTTGCCTCTAAAAATTGCTTTCTGTTTCTTCATATAGGAAATCACTGTGGTTTGTTATAAAAAAGGAAAACCTCTGATTAAAAGTCTGTCACAAAATGAAGGATGGCAGTTTCTCTTCTTGTTCAATTAGTATCATATGGTTATATCAACCAGTAGTTAGTGGCTTGAATAAGATGTCGTGTGGGCATGCTGTAAAACTCGGACCTCTAGAGGTTGTCTGATTGTACTGCACATTTAAAGGAGTGTTGTCATTATACAGTGGGGTCCGAAATGATTGACACCCTTGATAAAGATGAGCAAAGATTACAGTATAAAATAAATAATTCAAATACTGAGCTATATTGTAGGGACATTTTCATTCTCTATTTTCCTGTCATCCAACAAATGTAAACTCCTGGAGTTTGCTAAACAGCATTGGCACTTGGATTGGAACCAGTGCTTTGGTCAGATGACATGAAAATAGAGCTCTTTGGCCACGCACACCAATGGTGGGTTTGGCGTCGAATTGAGAATGCATAAGCAGAAAATAACCCCATACCAACTGATGTTTTGGGGCTATTTTGCTTCCACTGGTCCTGGGGCCCTTTTTAAGGTCAACGACATCATGAACTTTACCAAGTACCAGGACATTTTAGCCAAATACCTGGTTGCCTCTGCCAGGAGGCAGAACTTGGCTGCAAGTGGATCTTCCAGCAAGACAATAACCCCAAGCACGCCCCAAGCACACATCCACAAAGAAATGGTTAATTGGCCACAAAATCAACATTTTGGAATGGCCATCTCAGTCTCTGGACTTGAAACCCATAGAAAACCTGTGTTTGAATTGAAGAGGGCAGTCCATAAGCGCAGATGAAGAATATCAAGGATCTGGATGGATTCTGTATGGAGGAATGGTCTAAGACCCCTCCCAATGTGTTTTCCAACTCATAAAACATTTTAGAAAACGCCTCATTGCCATTATCCTAGCAAGGTGAGGTATTATATTTATATATATATATATATATATTATATTTTAGTCATTTAGCAGACGCTCTTATCCAGAGCGACTTACAGTTAGTGAGTGCATACATTATTATTATTATTAATTTTTTTCATACTGAAAGGTATTGAAAACAGGTATATCAATAGTTTTGGCCACTACCTTTTCGAGAAAAAAAGTATTACTTGTTAAACAAAATCTCTTTCTCTGAACAATTGTATTGGCAGTGGTGTAAAGTACTTAAGTAAAAAGACTTTAAAGTACTACTTAAGTAGTTGTTTTGGGTATCTGTACTTTACTTTACTATTTATATTTTTGACAACTTTTACTTTTACTCCACTACATTCCTAAGGAAAATAATGTACTTTTTACTCCATTGATTTTCCCTGACACCCTAACTTTAGTATTTACTTGTTACATTTCGAATGCTTAGCAGGACAGGAAAATGGTCCAATTCACACACTTATCAAGAGAACACCCCTGGTCATCCCTACTGCATCTGATCTGGTGGACTCACTAAACACACATGCTTTGTTTGTAAATTATGTCTGAGTGTTGGAGTGTGCCCCTGGCTATCCGTAAAATAACAAAAAATTGTGCCGTCTGGTTTGCTTAATATAAGGAATGTGAAATTATTCATACTTTTACTTTTGATACTTAAGTATATTTAAAACCAAATACTTGTAGACTTTTATTCAAGTAGTATTTTACTGGGTGACTTTTGCTTTTACTTGAGTCATTTTCTATTAAGGTATCTTTACTTTTACTCAAGTATTACAATTAGGGGTACTTTTTCCACCACTGTGTATTACAATAAACTAGTAGCATACAGTTTAACTCAGTAATTGAATTATTTATTTTATACAGTCATTTTTGCTCATCTTTTTCGAGGGTGTAAATGTAGGCCCCCACTGTAGGTGTGGGAATTATTAGAGACATGTTCATATGTTTTTACAACAGTTAAGTATAACAGGTGTAACACTATTTTTCATGGGGTTTTTAAAGATCTTTTTTTTTTTTTAAGCATGAACTCACCAAAAAGTATTATGAAGCATAAATGTACAATGTTTAGCAAATGTTCAGCCTATACGCAACAATTATTTGAGAATTCAGGGTGTGTGTGTGTGTGTGTGCCAGTGTACATTTGCTGTTGCTTGTGGGTGTATGATACATGATTCCTCAACCAATCACAAACTCAAGATATTGTGAGGGCCATAACTATAAACTGAGTGTAAGTGTGTTCATGTACGGGTGAGAGAGAGAGAAGCAAGACAGAACAGTCTAAATCTCATACTTCTTGATCGTCCAGATCGTGAACCAACATTAATGAGAAAGATGAAGACCTTGGCCATCCTTGTCCTCTGTGCTCTGGCATTTGTGTGCCACTCTATTGGAGGTAAGAGCAGAGAAAGAGTGACAGCGTTAGTCAATGTTTTGCACCTGTGCAAAATGTGCAACTGTTTTTAGGATTTCAGCATAAATGGAATAAGGAAAATAATCAAATAACTAAACTTCATATTAATGTTAAAGAATAAATAAAACGTAAATATTTAAAATGTTGTAGTTATGTTTTCAGATCGAGATAATTAATCATGTACAATACTGTTTCCTCTCTACACAGATTCCTCTACCTCCACTGCCTCAAAGGCTGCTAGTGAGAAGAGAGTGGGTAAGAGACATCAGTAGGATAATTGGTACCAGAATGGAAGTGAACTGATTGTGTGTACTGTATTGTTGATGACCAGTAGTAGATGCACTGAACATGGTTATTCTAAGTGCAGTGTGATTACACTTGTTTATATTTCTCTTGTTTCAAAAAGTGAATATATTCTATGACCTTACAGGTGTGTTTGTTAAGAAGGACCTGGCCTCCACTTTGGTGAGACAGAAGAGAGCCGGCACTGCCCTTGCAGACTTGTCCCTGACTCAGCTGGAGAGGTACAGTACTGTTCTGTTGTCCCCTGTCTGTCATCTGATAGCCTGGCACACAGGGTTGTGTTTCTACAATGTGTCGAAAGCGTTCCACAAGGATGCTGGCCCATGTTGACTCCAATGCTTCCCACAGTTGTGTGAAGTTGGCTGGATGTAATTTGGGTGGAGGATCATTCTTAATACACACGGGAAACTGTTGAGCGTGAAAAACCCAGCAGTGTTGCCGTTCTTGACAGAAACCAGTACGCCTGGCACCTACTACCATACCACGTTCAAAGGCACTTAAATATTTTGTCTTGCCCATTCACCCTCTGAATGGCACACAAACACAATCCATGTCTCAATTGTCTCAAGGCTTAAAAATCATTCTTTAACCTGTCTCCTCCCTTTCATCTACACTGACTGAAGTGGATTTAACAAATGAAATCAATAAGGGATCATAGCTCTCACCTGGATTCTCCTGGTCAGTCTATATCATGGAAAGAGCAGGTGTTGTTAATGTTTTGTACACTCAGTGTATGTGTTTTGCTGTTAATCAATGTTTGTATGGGAACAAGCATCCTTTCCACTTCATTTAAGATTCATTTAAGAGTAAATATGCTCAAATATTCTGGGAATTTCCTGTTGTTATCATGGAGTGAAATGTTATGTCTATAAGCCTATTTATTCTAACTGGATAATATCTCAATTTTCATCTATGTTTTTTTTTCTTCCCCCTTTCTTATTTCACCTCTTCCTCTTATTTTATGGAAACTGCGCAACCCTTTCATTCCCAGTCTGAGGGAAGTGTGTGAGCTTAACTACTGGTGTGAGAACATGATGGACACAGCTGGGATCATTGCTGCCTACACCGAATACTACGGACCAATCCCATACTAGATGTCAACCCACTCCACCAACCAACTTCCATTCTGCAAGGCTTTTTGGAGAGAAATTGTTGTAATGTTTTGAGGATGTAACTTCTGAATAAATCTTTTAAAATGTAGAATAAATTGATACGGTGATAGAGGGAGAGAGAGAGAGCGAGAGAGATAGAGAGAGGACAATGAGAAGTTATCAAGAGAACTGTTGATGCATTTGGTAATATTCTGTAGTGTAGTATGGACGATAAAGATATCAAAACATAATGTGTCTTTCGTATAATTATTTCACATTACATAACAATAATCTAACAATGTTATAACATGGTACATCGTATGAGTTCTGTAATTTCATAAAGGGAACAAATGAGAAACATATTAGGCTACACACTAATGGAGACCTGAAGAAATGACCTCTGTGGTATCAAAGGCTGGTAAAGACTTTGATACAAAAATAGTGGAGCAACCATAGTGGAGCAAAAAGCTCCATTTGCATGAAATTACTGACTTTGTTTACAAATATTGAAAGAGAAAAAATTACATGTACAGATCTTCAGCACCTTCATGAATATAAAAAAATAAATGACAGCTGAACACATTTCTACCTGGCATTTGATCCTGTATGAACAAACATATCTATCTACCTGTGGTGCCTCTGTTGATACAAAGGCAAGTGCAATTGCATAAATGATCCCAAGGCTGGGGCATTTAACTTGGTCATCATTGCCAAAATGCCAATAATGTTCGTATTTATGTAAGGTCATCTTGCCAAACAATTTGTGTAACCTGGTAAGCAATGAAGGTCATACTACCCACAAAAAAAAAATGCACACACATTTAGGCCTAATAATAAAATGCAAAAGGCACTCACCTGCAAGAGACACTTGGGTGAAGTATAGGCTATTCGTAACAGTAGCAGTAGAAAAGGTAGCAGGTTCACCTGAAGAGTGCAAACCTGCAGTCTACTAGGTCAGCCACTGGGGGGGTTGAGCGTATTTAGTTTGACGTTTTTTTTGCAGTTTCCGGTTTATCTCACATGAGGCTTCCGCCCTAGCTCGCGGCAATCAAAACATGGCGGACTGCATCAATTAGCCAAAAAGCGTTTATGTCAATGTGATCTAAAGGGGTATCAATTACATTATTTTGATACAGACAACGATATTTATAGTTGACAATTTACCCGATTGGAAAGTAATAGAGGGGAAAGCCACACTGCCCACAGTTTTCACGTGGATAAAGGTAGAGTAAATTCAAGTGAGCTTTTTCGTTACCTGTTCAACGAGCTAGCTGACTGGATAATTTAGCTAGCTAACGTTATGCTGATGTGAAACCTGCAAGCTTTTGGTGATATCTACCGGTGGTTACAAAATTTGCTAGTTAGCTAACTATCTAACATTTCAGCAAATTAATATTGGCGAGTATTTGCATTAGCTATAGCTAGCTAACATTAGAACTGGTGCAGATTTGCTAACTAAGTTAGCTAACGTTTGTTGTTAGTTTAGACTAGTTGACGTTTACTTCTGACTAGCTGCGATTCAACCATGAATTGTCTTCTGACATTGTGCTGGGAGACGTACTTATATGTACAAGTTGTACAATTATATTTTCCAGCACAATGTCAAAAGGTAATTAATTATTGTATGAAAATGGATACACTCACTAACTGTAAGTCGCTCTGGATAAGAGCGTCTGCTAAATGACTAAAATGTAAATTATTGGTTGAATCGCAGCAAGGGAGTGAACGTTATTTATAATAAGGGTTACATGGAGAAAATCGTACCTCTGAAATGAAAATGGATGGCCCTCCCTAGAACAAAATATATTTTACCTATACCCTCCCTGAACGCTTGAAATAAAACGAGTGACCCTCCCCTATACCCAAAATAAAAATTAATACAAAGTGGATAGCAGAGAACATGTCTACCGTTTACCCTCACTTTTTGGACAGACCAGAGCCTTAGACATGCAGTTTAGAAACTGTTCCTTGTCCTGTTAGTATTACTTGGCAACGCAGGAATTTTGATAGTGCACAGGGCTGCAGGCCAGAAGGTTGTGGGTTCGCAGATCACCGTGGACAAGAGTAGGGGTGGAAAGATCTCATTTATAGTAAAAGCATTGCATGAATCCATCATCGTATTTGCAGGGCCAAGAAAAAAATGGCCTTATGTAAACATTTCATGCAATTCTACTTAATTTTCCATATTAGCAGAATCTTTCATTTTTATACCACACAAATTGCCAAAATTACAGGCTGAATGAACAGAGATGGGCATGTGTGTTCATCTTTTTTCTCCAATGCCAAATCAGTGTGTTTTGTTTGCAATGAAACTGTCCCTGTTTGCAAATAATAAAATCTGAGACCTCATTAGGAATCTGAGCATGGTGTTTTCAAAAGTTAGGCCTACCTTTCCACCCCAGACAGAGTAGGCCTACTGACGCAGAAAAATGGAAGCTTTAACTGCTCGCTACTCTTCTTCTGTGGCTTAACCCAACGAGAGAAGGTCACAAGTGTTTACCTAAAAGCTGTCTGGGTTTAAACATCATATATTGTACAGAAAGTTAATAACTTAATCAATTGATAGTGACATAATTAGATTACTTCCCAAGCAAAGTACATTTTTTGTCTCCTTTATGCTCTAAACAATGATATCCCCATATGCATCGGAGTCACGTCTTTCCCGGGTATTTTACAACTTGTTTGTAGCCGAAAGCATCGTGGACCAAAGCGTTGTTATAGATCACTTTAATAATCAGATCCCTTTTATTTTCTTCAAAATCTTAAGCTAACAAAAGGGTAGGCCTGTGCTTTTTGCCCTTTTCATTAATAAAAAGTAGGCCTATGGTATACCCTCTCATACTTCCCTCAATTCGAGTCTTGGTTTTAACTTAGCCTACCTCCGTGTCAGTGAAGGGCTGTTATTTAAAGAGTGCATTGTGGATGGAGGAATTGACCAACAAATCTATTGATATAGCAGCCTATAGCCTAATTTAGTCTCTCAAACAGGTAGGCCTACCTCTTATTTCTTAAATAGGAAGAAATAGGCTCCAACGCAAAGCCCTCTTGTTGTTAGAAAACTAATTAAAATGAAGACGGTTTAAATGAATTATGCCTACTCAAATTTGCCTACTTTCAGCACCATGAGCTGTCCATTTCCGATTGATTGTGCTGCTGCTTCAAGTTTCAGCACCACAATGTAAGTTACTGGAATCTGGCTTATTGTGAGGTCAATAACTCTGATAAATAGGCCTACATCATGGGCAAGAAACATATTGTTTTTAATCAAATCAATTATAGTAGTAGCAAGCTATCAAAGTTGTCCTCCTTCTCATCTTCGCGCTCTCCTTCTCAAACTGAACAGAACATAAGCTGTAGCAGTGTTTCCCAACCCTGGTCCTCTTGTACTCCCAACAGTACACAGTTTCATTGTAGCCCTTGACAAACACACCTCATTCAACTCATTGAGGGCTCGATGATTAGTTGACAAGTTGAATCAGGTGTGCTTGGTCAGGGTTACAATACAAATGTGTACGGTTGGGGTTACTCGAGGACTAGGGTTGGGAAACACTGGGCTATAGGCTAGTCCATGCGCAAGAGAGTGCATTTTTTTGGACTATGCTTAATAAAAAATAGGAAGAAGCCTTTGACTCTCCTCCTGAACTGCCACTGTAGGCCTACACAGCACAGCCATTGGTTAGGAAGCACACAAAAACGTTCTTGATCAGCAAGAGCAGGCTGGGGCTCAGGGTTGGAATATCCATTGCAGTGTGTAAGGCAGCCTAGTTTTATTTAAGGCCTTGTAAGTCAGCATTTCACGGTAAGGTCTACACGTGTTGTGTTTGGGCACGTGACAAATACAATTTGATTTGATTTGACCATCCCAGCGGCTATCTTAGAAATATAACTTTGCTCTGTGCTTCGCTGAGCATGCACTTCATAGCCTGTATAGCCTATGGATACTTTGATTGAGACCACACTAAATAGCCTACAGGAGGCTGCTGAGGGGAGGACAGCTCATAATAATGGCTGGAACGGAGCAACCATGTGAAACCATATGTTGGATGTATTTGATACCATTCCGCTCTAGCATTTACCACAAGCCCGTCCTCCCCAATTAAGGTGCCACCAACCTCCTGTGATAGGCACACTTGATATTGTGCGCCCAGCAGAGAATCAGAGATGAGGGGTGGCATCAGGCACACATCGATATATAGCCTAATAAGCAACTATTTCTAAAACACTGAGGAATATAGACATTTCATCATTTACAAATTACATGACCCTCCCCTAGACTAGATTTTAAAAACTTCTGACTTGCCCTCGGTGCAATCAATGTAATGTCGTGTTTGGTGCCTCTAGTCTAAAGTAATCTAAATGTATATCTGGCTCCTTCGTGTTGCTCAATAAGCTTTTTGACAGTTAGTAACATGCTGTATAATATTGCAGGAAAATATCCTGCATTACTTGGTTTGGAAATCCAAATTCATCGTTGTGGTTGTGTTGAATAGATGACTTTTTCTCCTGACTCCAATAACTTGATACTGTATCTTCCCTGGCAGGGTGAAGGAGACGCACCATCACCATGGGGCGACGTTCGACCTCCTCCACCAAGAGTGGGAAATTCATGAACCCCACCGACCAGGCCAGTAAGTAAAGTCATACCCTTTCCATCATCATGTGACTGCTCACATCATACGTTCACCTCAAACTTGAGCATGAACACATCAGTGCACATTGTTACTTAAGCTTCAGGGGATCCCATGTCTGTGAAATGAAAAGCATTTCAGTGTCTCTTATTGAGCTCAGCAGCACTATGAACAATAGTAAATGCATCAACGTACAGGAGCTGTCAGGTAACAGGTTCTACATCAAACATAATGCGGTGCCTTTTCCTCCTCAGGGAAGGAGGCCAGGAAACGGGAGCTGAAGAAGGTAAGACCTTGGCTGACAAGTTGAATGTCAATGACAGGTTGACTTTGTATTCTGTGTAGAAAACTCACTGTGCTCTTCTTTGCTGCGCCACAGAACAAGAAGCAGAGGATGATGGTGAGAACAGCTGTGCTGAAGATGAAGGACCCCCGACAGATCATCAAAGACATGGAGAAGCTGGATGAAATGGGTGAGCTATTGGAAATGGGTTTTAAACAAGGTTATGTGTTTGTTTTTTGTCTTCCAAAATGATCTTGCTAATCATTTTCTTTTCTCCTGTTCACATCCGTTCTCTCTACCTGTCTTTTCCTGTGCCAGAGTTCAACCCTGTGCAGCAGCCGCTGCTGAATGAGAAGGTGCTGAGGGACAAGAGGAAGAAGCTACGGGAGACGTTTGAGCGCATCGTACGTTTGTACGAAAGAGAGAACCCAGACACTTACAAGGAGCTACGCAAACTGGAGCTGGACTATGAGAGCAATCGCGGCAAGCTGTCACTCTACTTCGACTCAGTCAAGGTGTGTATGCTATGCTGATGAGCATGTATGAAGCGTACAGATAAACAGAGCGGGGCTGAGATCATGTCATTATTGTCCCTGTTGTTCACTACTCACTCTTTCTCTTCCACACTCTGTCAACTAGAATGCTGAACTGGTGGAGGTGGATAGTATCCCACTCCCAGAGATGCCCCACGCCCCCTCCAGCATCCTGATCCAGGACATCCCCCTGCCCGGGGCCCAGCCTCCCTCCATCCTGAAGAAGGGCTCGTCGTTTAGGTGGGCAGTCCCCTGAATTTACAGTGCTGTCTCAGTATCATTCCAATGGACCATACCGCAACCCTAACAGCTGCTCTGTAAACACTTCTCTCTCTCTCTTAGTAAGGGGATCAGTGCCCCCATGTCTGCAGCGGTAGCTGGCGTCCCTCGGTTACCCCCTGGCAGGAAACCCCCAGGTCCCCCACCTGGCCCCCCACCGCCTCAGGTCCTGGCGCTGTACGCATCACGCAGGGCCCAGTTCGCAGCAGACGCAGGTACTGCACACACACCTCACTACTGCATGTTTGTACATGGGATCAGGAGGAATAAAGATGCTTCATCCAAATCCACCTTTCTCTCTGCCTACAACCAGATCCATCCAACCAGGCCTCTGACATGGAGAAAGCCATGGACACTATGCTGATGGGAGGAGAGAGGGACAGTGGGAGCGAGAGCGATGGAGAAGGGGACGATGGAGAGGAAGACGACAGCGACTCTGAAGAGGACAGTGAAGGAGAGAGGGATGAAGGAGGAGAGGTTGACAAGAGGATGATGGTGGACCGACAGGATGAGGGCAGAGAGGAGGACAGAGGGGACAGACATGCAGGTGAGAGGCAGAGCCTTGTCTGCGTATGTGCTTGCTTGATCACCCCAAGTGTGTTGGATTCTGTCTTCAAGTCTGGGCACTGCTTGGTGTTGGGAGTTTAAAGAATGATAACACAGACATGGCGTTGTACATGAGATTATGTGATATGTTTTGCAGGACGCAGTGTGCGGTTTGCAGACATGCCCCCCTCAGCACCCAGGGAGAAGAGCAAGAAGAAGAGGATTGTGAAGAAGAAAAAGGCCATCACTCCTCTGCAGGCTATGATGCTTAGGATGGCAGGTACTGTATGTCCTTCAGTCTGCACACAACACCACTACCACACTTCAGCAGGACTTGTGATGCAGATGAATGATTGGATTGTTGACACTATTTTGGAGAATGCCGTAATTTAAAGAGGTTTGTATTCGCCGGAGGATGATTTCTCCATGGGAACTAGATTACACTTTCTTCCTTCATCCCTTTCTCACTCATCCCCTTTTATTATTTGTCTACAGGGCAGTCCATCCCTGAAGATGAAGAGGAGGAAGAGGAAGTTGAGGAAGAGTATACTGACTCTGACAACTCAGACATCGAGGATAGGGGACCACCAGGCGACAACCAATCTCATCTTATACCCAATCAGCGCATGCCTCCACCCTCTGGTCCAATGGGAGGACAGCAACCACCTCTACACATGCAGGGTCCACCAGGAACAGGGCCTCCACCGTTGGGACCACCCCCAGCTCCTCCAATGAGGCCTCCTGGTCCGCCCTCTGGCCTGCCTCCCGGTCCTCCACCTGGTTCGTTGGTTTTATGTGTATTAATGATTGGAGTACAGTGTCATCTTGTGTGACGTTGCTTCATTACTATCAAATTACTAAAACAATGCTCTATGATGTGATATGTCATATGATATGTCTTGTTTGTCATCCTTAGGTGCTCCTCCGTTTTTGAGGCCACCTGGTATGCTAGGTGGTCCAAGGGGGCCGATGCCCCGGCTACTGCCCCCTGGACCCCCACCAGGTCGTCCCCCTGGCCCTCCCCCAGGCCCCCCTCCAGGTCTCCCTCCTGGTCCTCCACCCCGGGGACCCCCACCCAGACTGCCTCCCCCAGCACCCCCAGGTATGTGTGGATGCGTGTATGTATTTTTGTGCCTTTTATTGAAATTTCATAAGACTTTATCCCTTCTCAAACATTGTCAAAACATACATCTGTTTTAAACATAACTACAGTTCAGCAGTACCCAAAGTTAACAGCAATTAAAATAGCTGAGATCTATATGTCGGCATGGCACATACTTCAAGCTAAAATACATGTACAAATTATTTTGGCCAGCAAAGCATGGGAAGAAAGTAGGATTTTCCCCCACTCTAATCTCCTCTCTTCTCCCTTTCTGTAGGCATCCCCCCTCCCCCAAGAGCTGGCCACCCACGCCAACTTGCCCCTCCCCTCTCTCTTTTCCCCCCGCCGCTTAACTCCAACGTCCTCAGCGCTCCCCCCAGCATCGTCCACCGCCAGAAACCCGGCTCCAACCCAGATGGCTCCCAGAGCAACCCCAATGCCTCCATGCTGCCCCCTCCCTCCATGCCTATGTCCATGCGCCCAGGGATGCAGATGCCCCCTCCCCCGGGGACAAGTGCCCCGCCATCGGGCGCAAACCACACCAGCCACCACCATGCACCAACCATCGAGAAGCGGGCCAACATCACCTCTGTCTCGGCCGGAGGCAGCAATCTGGCAGCAGGCCCGGGGAGTGGTGGAGCCACCATCTCAGCCAAACCCCAGATAATCAACCCCAAGACAGAGGTCACCCGCTTTGTGCCCACGGCGCTGAGGGTGCGCAGGGATAAAGGGGCCGGGAGCGGAGGAGGGCCTATGGAAAAGGGAAGAAGAAGAGAGGAAAGGGTGGGAGGCCAGAAGCAGCAGTCGATGGCTGCCCCCATGGGGTCGGCCAACCCTACTCAGATGGGCCCAGTCTCTCAGCCCAACATGAAGACCAAGGACCAGATGTATGAGGCCTTCATGAGGGAGATGGAGGGACTCCTCTGAGACTGGGGCTGCGGGGTGAAAAGGGAGGGAGCGTTGAGATGGAATGAACAGTAGGGGTCATGAAGAAAGTGTTAGTGATACCATCAAGCAGATGCTGTTCAGAAACACGTTGTTTTTCTCAATGTTATTTTTTTTCTGGCAGACTAGAATTACCTCCCTACCGACTTACTGTACATGGCTATGATAATTTGGCTCAATCTTTGTGAAAAAGCTAGTGTTTTTTTATGACTGTCAAATGTTTATTTTATTGTTGAACTGAGAAATGTGTTGGATTTCAAAGAAAGTTTTGTCAGGTGTTTGTAGGAAAATCCAAATGAGTGTGCATATGCTTGTCTGAAATGGTTAGACCTGCAACTAAATAAATACTAAACTCAATTAACCTTTCTTTGAGTCCAATCTTTTTTAAAACTATCTTTTCATAACTCAGACCTCAAACAATACAAATTAATAAACCACTGTGATGAACGGGCTCGTTCAGCAGGATGCATTCAAGATGGAAGAAATAGGTTATGTAGAATAAGGAATCACATCAGCTCTATTCATGGCATTTCTATCTGCAACGTTCGACAACGTTTGAGAACTGAATGTGGTCTAAACATTGCAATTAACTGAATGATTTATGAATTTAGCGGGGAACATCAAGTCCCAGAAATCATAGCATGAAATCTTATCAATTTCCGTACATGCGCACTTTAGCGTAGACCGCACGTTGGCAAACAAGCATGGCGGACGATTCGGAGAAAAGTGTCGAGATAAAAACAGATGAAGCAAAGGATGAAGCACTCGAAGATTCGAGTTAGTGATGATGATAACAGTAACGTTAATGTCGCTGAAAATGACGAGCCAGTGAAGACCTTCAAGGATCTGGTGAGTAGCTAGCTAAATGGAAAGGATAGGTTAGCTTGCCAGCTTGGAAGCGAACTAGCTAGCTAACGTTAGTTAACAGCACCTCAACAAATAAACCTACCACTGATAAGTTAGCAAGTTAACTGTCTTTCAACCACCAACATACGTTTAAGGAGGTAGCAACCAACAGTCGTTACATGTAGATAGCTAGGTACAGCTGTGGGATGATGTGATGTCATTGACAGGCATGTAAAATACATTTAAAAATGGGGCGCGCATTTAGCCATGCAATTTGTGGAACGTTAGATGTATTACATGCACTCCATTGTCTAACGCGTTTACATATTTCTACTATGGCATGCATCTGTTAATATAGGGTGTAACTGAAGTGCTGTGTGAAGCCTGTGAACAGTTGGGATGGAAGACTCCTACAAAGATCCAGGTAGAGGCCATACCTGTAGCCTTACAAGGTGAGTTCAGTTGGATGGAGGGGGTGAATGACCTTGTTTGTGCCATATATAAAACAGTTGGTAAAGACCTGTCCTCTAGGTGTAAGGTCCCATGTCAGTTTGTACACTCAACATGCACTTTCTTCTCTCCTATCTCAGGAAAGGATGTAATTGGCTTGGCAGAGACTGGCTCAGGGAAGACAGGGGCGTTTGCGCTGCCCATCCTGCAGTCACTCCTCGCTTCCGCTCAGAGGCTCCACACACTCATACTCACCCCCACCAGAGAGCTGGCTTTCCAGATCGCAGAGCAGTTTGAGGCCCTGGGCTCCAGCATCGGAGTCAAGTGTGGTACGTGGGCATGGGAAGGACCATCCGGGATGTCATGAGGGTAGAAACATATTTGAAGGAACTCAAGTGCCGTGTGACTTTGTTATATTAACTCACTTGTCTTTGTTTCTGTTTCAGCTGTTATAGTTGGAGGAATTGACATGATGTCCCAATCCCTAGTCCTGGCCAAGAAACCTCACATTGTCATTGGTGAGAAAATAACTTAATCCAACCTACCACTTTCAGTTGCATAATACGATACCATCTTTTAAGTGCATTCCTGGTTGATACTAACTAATGTGTATTCACCGTGTATGTCATAACAGCCACCCCCGGGCGGTTGATAGACCACTTAGAGAACACCAAAGGCTTCTCACTGCGAGCACTGAAGTTCCTGGTGATGGACGAGGCAGACCGGATTCTCAACATGGACTTTGAGACTGAGGTGGACAAGATCCTGAAGGTTATTCCCAGAGACAGACGCACGTTTCTCTTCTCTGCCACCATGACCAAAAAGGTACCCACATAATACTGCCTATTATATATTCCTTTTAGCTCTTCATTTGAGACGTGTTAGAGTATTCCTAACACCTGGCCTGTCACACTAACCCTTCTATGTCTTTGCCAAGGTTGCAAAGCTGCAGAGAGCAGCGCTGAAGGATCCAGTTAAATGTGCCGTTAACACCAAATACTCAACAGTAGAAAAACTGCAGCAGTACTACATCTTCATACCCTCCAAATACAAGGTACTTGACATTGGATTAATGTTCTAATGGTATCAAGGTAATTTTTCTATGAGAAGTCAGAAGCTGTGTATGGTTAGTGTTGGATTGTAAGTCAACTGTCTGTGTCTCCAGGATTGTTACCTGGTGTCCATTATCAATGAGCTGGCGGGGAACTCCTTCATGATCTTCTGCAGTACGTGTAACAATGCCCAGCGGGTGGCGCTGCTGCTCAGGAACCTGGGCATCACTGCCATCCCCCTACATGGGCAGATGAGTCAGGTACCCCCCCTTATCCAAACACACTACTGTCTACCAACATACTCACTCCAAATATCATACTCTAACTCTGGTGTGAGCTACACACTTTCAAATGTTATACACATCAGTGAAATCTGCATGTATGAAAGTAGAAATAATAAATGTATTTCTCTCTTGGTCAGAACAAACGTCTGGGGTCGCTGAACAAGTTCAAGTCTAAGTCTCGCTCGGTGTTGCTGGCGACTGACGTGGCGTCAAGAGGACTGGACATTCCACATGTAGACTGTGTTATTAACTACGATATCCCAACTCACTCAAAGGTATCAGTCTTGCTTGTGTGGATGTTTCTCCCATGGTCTGTTGCAGTCTCTCTCTCCAATGTTATCACAAATGAGGGACCCAACCGAGCAAGTTTAGTGGTGTTTTATCGTGTTTGTGTGTGTGTACTCTCAGGACTACATCCACAGAGTGGGGCGAACCGCCCGAGCAGGACGGTCTGGAAAATCCATCACATTTGTCACACAGTAAGGGCCACCTTTATGCTCGCACTCAACCAATCTTATTGAAATTGGTTACTTCATCCAAAGATTTTCTTCTGATTGACATATTGACCTCTCAGGTATGATGTGGAGCTGTTCCAGCGAATCGAAACTCTGATTGGCAAGAAGCTGCCTGCCTTCCCCACGCAGGAGGAGGAAGTGATGATGCTGGTGGAGAGAGTGAGCGAGGCACAGCGATTCGCCAGAATTGTGAGTCTGTCTTTTCAGCAGTGTTGTCATCCATTGTAATAGCTCTAAAGTCAGTCACAATCATCTCTTTCCCTCTCAGGAAATGAAGGAACAAGGAGAGAAGAGGAAGAGGCCCAGAGGAGAAGAGGGGGATGACACCGAGCAGTCCAGCGGTGTGAGGAAGAAAGTAAGAGGAGGCGCTGGTAGTGGTGGTGGGGGAGGGAGAGGAGGTGGAGGAGGAAAAAACCGTGGCGGAGCAGCATGGAGGGGAGGACATTAAAGGTGCCAGTAGAATAACACAATACTGTACATATTGTCAGATACTATGTCATTTTCTCCTTGATATAAAACATCTATGATTATTAACGTATGCTGCTTTCTTTACAACCACCACATCATGGAGACAGGCTGTTTAATTATATGACTTGTTCAATTTCTTAATCAATTTGTAATAAAATGTTTATGAAAAATCAAGACCATGTTCAGTGAGTTGTGTTCACATTCACAATTTGATAATATAGCTTGGTAAACATGAATGGAATCCTGATAACATAACATCTTCATGAATTTGTATTAAATATTTAATTAAGTATTTTTAAAGTAGATTAGCAATGCAGGTGACATGAACATGGTTGAACTATATTTTTGGAATAATGGCAAAAAATAAACTTTAAACGAACAATGACCTATATTACCAGGAATATAATGATACAAATAAGCCCAACCACTTTGGACACAAGAGGGGGGTGTTGCATATCATGATAGCTAACCAGTTACTCTGTGGCAGTTTATTGTAACATTTGAACCATGTCAAATATCACTCCATTCAAAACCTAAAGACCATACAAAACACTTTAAATCGATATCTTGCATCAAAAGCGTGTTAATGACTGAAGGAACAAATAAGTGCATTATTATTTCGAGCACTGAGCATAATGATTTAATTGAAATGAAATTAATTAGTTTTTTGTTTTTTTTATGTTGAGGGTCAGGTTGGAGATGGTGTCAGGAACAGGTGGAACGATGGACCAGAAATGATTCCTCTGAAAATAGTTGGTTTGCTCTGGGGTCGTTTTTAGCCAATTGGAGGCGAGGGGACTAGAGACTGGCAGCTTGAGAATCCAATTGTGTTTTAGCCGCAGTAGGTGAGTGCAGTGCATAGACTTTCACAACTAGATATTATATTGACCTCGTGGCTTAAGAATAAAAAAGCATTTGTATTTGTATATCATTAGACGTCTGTTTTTCAGAGGATATCAACGCTTTAGAAAATATAGCACGTAAAGCATCACAATGAGCTATTGAATTCGGACAAGCTGATCTATTCGGTCAATATCTATGTCTGCACAACCCATCGTAGGCGGACTAACAGCGGTCAGATCTGTTCGGTTGAGGTGCCCCACCGTAGGGGCAGTGTCTTTGGTGCATACCAAAGCCTAGATAGATGCCTGAATATCAATTGTGTTGTTGCATAAAGTGTTATTAAAGAGGGAGATCGGTCTATTCGTGTGAACAGTTGTCCTCGTTTCTTCACTCAAAGCACCAGGTAAATTACCAGCTCTTTTAGGAATCATTTTATTCTGCATGGTTACATTAGCAGCTTGAAGATTGTCCGACTGGATGGATTTAGGCTACATAGCGCAATGATGTCGCTATATTATGTTCAGGACTATTGATTACCCAGATACGTTGAATTAAAATATGTTAAAGGAATAAATTGCGTTATATTTCTTGAATAATTTAATTGAATGAAATTGAAATGATGACTTTAGAGATGTTGCTACACCAAAATTGACTCCCTTGACCAGTACAGCTCTCAGCATGATTTCAGATGGTTTCTGTTATTATTAAAGTGGTCGTAAATGTCAGATAACGTGCAGCTATGTGATATAGGTTGTTCATGGACCTGCTGATCTATTAAATACATGTTTATTGTCTATGTTGATTGTCATGTGTGGCAAGGTTGCGTGCCATTCACAACACGGTTACACCAGCGCACGAGATGGCTCTAGTCGATTCAGCGTAAGACGCGCGTTATTAAACGAGTCAACAATGTAGCCAGCCTGTCAGGCAAATAAACAAAACAAACAATTGGTTCTGTTTGGCACTTATTTTATTCGGACTAAATTTGTTCGACACGTTGAATACTCTACCTGAAGGTGAGGAATTACTTTCCATGTTTGGCTGCAAACGTCTACTTGGATGAGGAACTTGTTCTGCTGTAAAAAGCAATGATGGTGTAGGCCTATTTTGGCGTGTACAGATACAATGTAACAAACATCTGTGTCCTCTGTCCAGTAACTGATACAATGTGGCGGGAAACAATATAATTGACGCATACACAAGAAACACACGTTTGTCATACTGTTGTTAGCTTTCAAAACGATTAAAGTATAACCTCTGAGAAATAAATAAATAATGAGGATGTTGGGTAACCTGTACCCTAACGTAGCAGGCATAAAAAGAGTCCCTACATTTAGGTTGAAAATACTGTATCCCTGAAAACCGGAAACATCGGCTTTCTGTCAAGCCCGCAGAGTGGGGAACCTGCGAAAATTCTGGGCTTCCAAGCTATAATTCGTTATCCATTGCTAGTGCAGTGCAGCAGAGTAGACTCATCTCATCCATTTTTGTAAGCCTGTAAAATTATGTAACTGTGCCTCTCTTCTAGCCTATAGTAAAATTTTCCTCCCGAAAATAGGATACAGGTGAGTAAAAATTGCCCCACCTAGGTTAGCCAGCAGATCCGACCAGCTTGCTTACAGCTGCACTAGGGTCAGACAGTATTCGTATATAGATTAAGACAGGGTTTCCCAAACTCGGTTCTGGGACATCCGTTTTGGTTTAGCACTACACAGCTGATTCAAATATCCAACTCATCATCAAGCTTTGATTATTTGAATCAGCTGTGTAGTGCTATGGCAAAAAAACTAAACGTGCACCCGGGGGTGGCCTAGGACCAAGTTTGGGAAACCCTAGATTAAGATCTGCGGAGCCAGTGCGAGGAAATACACCTTCCAAAATGGCTGCTGTGGCTTCTTCTACCTAGCAGGAGGACGAAAAGGACAGTTTTCCGTAAAAACTAGCAGTAGTTCAATCTTCTCGGTTTAACAGTTGGGATAATGGGACAATTCTCAGAGTACAATACATTTCTCATCCCTGGATTGAGGTACGTTTTCTGAGCCATATTCATGCCGGCTCCACGGTGTCTTAATCTACACAGGAATGCTCTCCGACCCCAGTGCAGCTGTAAGCAAGCGAATCAGATCTGCTGGCTACACCTAGGCTTGAAAAGGGGGTAACTTTATTGTCACAAAGGAATGCCACCTTGATAAGTGCCATGCCTGAGAGTGCTTAACATTTAATGACAAACATGTTGCTATACTGAGTCTCTGCCTCTTCCAGGTGGCACTCTTGCTCTGGTACCCCCAAAATGGCTCATCGAAGTGGGCAGGATGACCCGGAGCGATACCTGTTTGTGGACCGCGCTGTGGTCTACAACCCAGCCACGCAGGCCGACTGGACAGCCAAGAAGGTGGTGTGGATCCCTTCAGAGCGCCATGGCTTTGAGGCGGCCAGCATCAAGGAGGAGCGGGGAGAGGAGGTGGTGGTGGAACTGTCAGAGAACGGCAAGAAGGCCATGGTCAATAAGGACGACATTCAGAAGATGAACCCGCCCAAGTTCAGTAAGGTGGAAGACATGGCCGAGCTCACCTGCCTGAACGAGGCCTCAGTGCTGCACAACCTCAAGGACCGCTACTACTCTGGCCTCATCTACGTGAGTGGTTGTGTTGTTGTACACTGTTAGAAAAAAGGGTCGCAAAAGGGTTCTTCGGCTGTCCCGATAGGATCACCCTTTTTGGTTCCAGGTAGAACCCTTCGTGGAACCCAAAAGGGTTCTACCTGGAACCAAAAGGGTTCTCCTATGGGGCCAGCCGAATAACCCTTTTAGGTTCTAGATAGCACCTTTTTTGTATCGTGTATCGTTATTATACATCTATTCACCTAGAAAGCAGATTTAACCATATGCACACATAGTGGACACAACAGACATTCCTCAATATTTCAATATTTTGCTGTTTTTCAGCAACACTGGTGATTCATACCTTGAATGAGACCCAGACCACTGAATCCCATGTATTGGTTTCTTGAGAATGTTGAGACACGGTTGTTTGAGATTTTTCATTCTGTGTCCCTAACCCACTCCTTGCCAAACACCCCTCACCTACCCCACACACACTGACACAGGCACTGATGGAGCGGAAAAGCAAATATGTTTTATACATTACTCCTTCAAACTCCCTGTGTCTGTCTGCTCTGCACACATCAAATCATAAAGGCAGCGGATATAAAATATCCCCTGACCTGGCTCACCTACAGAACCTAACCTCTGGGGAACTCTGAGGAAACAGGGTCCGTGTCCGAATACCCATATTAGCGTACTACATACTTAAACTGCATACTAATTTTGATGTTTGATCTAGTAGAATTCACTTGTCTCTTCCGACTCATGTGTCTGACAACAGCTGATAATCAGATACATTTACTCGCTGTACCATAATGAACGAATGGCGGGAGTCAACTCAATCACATATTAGATTACTCATTTAGAGTACTATTTTTCGAAATTTCACATACTATAACACTTTATTTTTTCACATACTATTTACTACGCTAGTATGGGTGTTCGGATATGAACACTGTCTTGTGGCTTGATTGAAGTTAGAAAACACACAAAGACTGATCATACTCTGTAACCATTTCCAGATAGTTCAGACCGACGGCAAGTTCTCTCTCTGTCTAGATTACCTGCCATCTTCTTTACTTTCACCTTTATAAGTGACATTTCTTCCATAAACACTGGCGGTTCAGTTTGTTTGTACGACCCCATTCCTCGTGGTTGCCCTGTTTGATCTTTGAGCTGTCTGTGGGGCTCTCTCATCTCAATGGGGGTCCCTGGGTGTTAAAGCAAACACATTTGGCCCTGTGTGTGGACTGTGGAGTCCCAGGGCAGGGTGGCAGACTGAGAGACCCCTCACTGCTGCTGCTGTGCTCTATGGCCCAGACTGGCTGCATTAGGTCTGGTTAATCTTTATGGTCGTGAGCCTTTGTCCTCTCACACATGAGCTGTCTGGAGAAAATAGTTCCTACAATCCCAGAATTCCATTAGATGATAGTGTCAGTGATGTATATGATGTCCACGCTTTTAGGGAGTTTTTAAAGCTACCCCTTGCTGTTGGTAACCACGTCAAAGTTTTCCATTCTGTAGTCCTTCAACTTTTCTTATCTAAGCACACATCTGAGTTTGCATTGGTTTAAATTGGGTGCTTTCACTGTGTGTTGAATAATCTGAAGCTATGTTTCAGTGCAGATGGGTCTGGTTAATGATGTCCTATATACAGTGTATCGTCATGATCTTGACCCATTTAGTGACATGCATTCCAGGAATAGAATGTGGATTGGTTATCACCTGAGACACGGTGATGGGGATTCTGGAGGAACTGCAGTCTTTTTGATTTATCTTCTTTACCAGGCTTGATGACAAATTCCACTAGATAGTAGCTTGATGTTTCTCCATGTTTCTTGAAGGCTCTCTTTGTCTGTGTGTTGCTGAATAATGGCCGTAGTGGAAATGCAACTATACTGAACAAAATATAAATGCAACAATTTCAAAGATTTTACTGAGTTACAGTTCATATAAGGAACTCCGTCAATTGAAATAAATTCATTAGGCCCTAATCTATGCATTTCACATGACTGGGAATACAGATATGCATCTGTTGGTTACAGATACCTTTAAAAAAAAAAGTAGGAGGGTGGATCAGAAAACCAGTCAGTATCGGATGTGACCACCATTTGCCTCATGCAGCGCGACACATCTCCTTCACATAGATTTGATCAGGCTGTTGATTGTGGCCTGTGGAATGTTGTCCAACTCCTCTTCAATGGCTGTGCAAAGTTGCTGGATATTGGCGGGAACTAGAACACGCTGTCGTACACGTCGATTCAGAGCATCTCAAACATGCCCAATGGGTGACCTGTCTGGTGAGTATGCAGGCCATGGAAGAACTGGGACATTTTCAGCTTCCAGGAATTGTGTACAGATCCTTATGACATGGGGCCGTGCATTATCATGCTGAAACATGAGGTGATGGCGGCAGATGAATGGCACGATAATTGGCCTCAGGATCTTGTCACGGTATCTCTGTGCATTCAAATTGCCATCAATAAAATTCATTGTGTTCGTTGTCTGTAGCTTATGCCTGCCCATACCATAACCCCACCACCACCATGGGGCACTCTGTTCACAACGTTGACATCAGCAAACCGCTCGCCATATGCCATGTACAGTTGAAACCGGTTTGTGCAGAAATTCTTCGGTTGTGCAAACCCACAGTTTCATCAGCTGTCTGGGTGGCTGGTCTCAGCTGATCCCGCAGGTGAAGAAGTCAGATGTGGAGGTCCTGGGCTGGTGTGGTTACACGTGGTCTCCGGTTGTGAGGCCATTTGGACGTACTGCCAAATTCTCTAAAATGACGTTGGAGGCGGCTTATGGTAGAGGAATTAAAATAAAATTATCTGGCAACAGCTCTGGTGGACATTCCTGCAGTTAGCGTGCCAATTGCATGCTCCCTCAAAACTTGAGACATCTGTGGCATTGTGTTGTGTGACAAAACTGCACATTTTAGAGTGGCCTTTTATTGTTCCCATCACAAGGTGCACCTGTGTAATGATCATGCTGTTTAATCAGCTTCTTGATATGCCACACCTGTCAGGTGGATGGATTATCTTGACAAATGAGAAATGCTCACTAACAGGGATGTAAACAAACGTGTGCACAAAATTTGAGAGGAACAAGGTTTTTGTGCGTATGGAACATTTCTGGGATCTTTTTATGTCAGCTCATGGAACATTGGAACCAACACTGTACATGTTGCGCTTATATTTTTGTTCAGTGTACATACAGTAGATGGAAGGAAGGGTTAGGTTGTGAGTGCGTGGTCAAGGTTCACGTTTGTTATCTCAGAACACGAGCAAAGGTTTTCAAACTGAAATGGTAAGGAAGTGTCTGATCTGATATTTTCAGACAGATAACTGACCATCATGTTTAGAAAACTTTCCCCCCAGGAGTTGCTAAATGGTTCCTTTGGTTTTATGATTCTGCTGTTTAATTTGACTAGTTTGGTGTTTTCATGGTTCAAAAGTGTTTTTTATCATGTTTTATTTTTCACTCTTGTAATAAATGAAGAACATGCTATTGTCAGTGGGAGAGTGCCCCAGCCCAAGAGGTGACCTCCCCCCACAGTGGGGCCTAACCCATCCCTAGCTGAGCTGTATGCTGCTGCCCCAGGCTTTGTGTGTCTGAGCTGGGGTTGGCGTGCAGAGGGAGCCCCCTGGGTAATGTGGCTCTGTGCGGTGTGTCAGTCCCTCAGTGAGGCCCCAGTACAGCACGGTGGCGTAGCCTGTGGCTCCCTGCCCATCTGACGGATCCATGTGAAGTCAGTGAGTAACAGGCTATCCGGAACGCTAGCTAGCGACGCTACAACCAGGCCTTTGTGTCAGCATATAAGCCCCAGCTGTCAGAAAGCCTCAGCATTCTTTCATGTAAAAAAGCGTCCTGTCTGTCTCCTGCCCACTTCATTGCCATGTGTCAGACTGTCCTGTCTCCTTTCCCACACTCACTCTCTAACTTACGATTTCTCTATTTTCTCTGTCCTAATGCTCTGCCCAATGCCCACAGCCTTGTTCCTGCCCTTCTTTAGGTGTTTCAAATGTTTGAGTATTCAAACATTTTATAAATGTAATGCAGTCCTGGCTGTGCTTCTGTACTTGTGGAGGTCAGCTGCCTCTTGGTTGACAGGATGTAGGTGGTATCACTAATGGAAACCCCCCACTTATTAGCTCTCTTGTCATTCTTGTTTGGCAGATATGTTTCTTTATTGAGGTTAGAGAACAAGCTTTCACTCGCTATGTGCATGCATAAAAGGTACATTACCTCGCTCTCTCTCAAGAGTGGCATTGTGTTCAGGCCTCCCACATACTCATATCTTGAGTGCTTTGTTGTTGTCATGGCATTGCCATTGCTCCATGGAGAACTCTTTTCTCTTTTGCATGCAAACAACTCAGGTGTTACCGTAAACTTGGCGCACACACACACACACACACACACACACACACACACCATGGATAACAAACCAGCGCCAGGATTTTCATGGATCATCATGCAGTTATCAGTGATTGTTTTTTAATTAAATTATCCAGAGAAAGTGAACAACAGTTTCTTTATTTGATAAAAAAAGGTCTGAGTTCGCAGCTTTGTGTTTAAGCTGGTGGTTGAGGTTAAGGTCATGAGTTAAAAGCTATGTAACGTTAGTGCCTTGCATTTACAGTATATGCCAAAATTCCACTTAAGGCATAGCTATCTTTCTCTCAAGTTCACCAGGTATTATTCACATGATTATGCTAAAAGCCCATTGCATTATAAAATCAAGATAGTTGAACACCCTGCTATTGACTTGACACTCTTTTAGATTCATTAGCTCTGCGCAAGGAGTATTGATCATATTTCAAAGCATACTTTGAAGAGTTATTAGCTTTGTTATGAATATGCACTGTCAAGGGAATGGTCAAGGTCTTTCTCCACAGATCAATGGACTAGGCCGTCCTCACCTTGCTACAGTAGGGGTGCTATAGATTCCAAATGGCAGATGCAGGCGACTGTTATGTCTGCTGTTGCCTGTGTGTTTCTCAGCTGTTACTAAGCCACTGCATCCCTCCCCGGATCCGATTTCACAGTGAAAATATCCCCTTCCCTGGTGCATGGAGAGCAGGCTAACCTGACCCACTCCCTCCAGCAGCAGGCCTGGCCTACTACTCTGTCCACAGCTGAAGAGGCTGCAGCCTCCAACCACCCTGGGAGGGAAGGGGAGAGTGAATCAGATGTTGGTGAGCGGGAGAAAGAGAGGCCTCCTGAGTAGACTGGACTGCACAATGACCATTGTAGCTGAATTTGTGACTGCCGACAAATTATACATCCATAAGGCATTGTAGGTCTACCCAGAGTAGTGCCAAAAACTGAAAGCGTAAACTCTCCTGCAATGTTGACAGTGTTAACTCACGATTATCACACACTCACATTTAACCTGAACGTAAGCATATTCAATATGATAGGAAAGTGTTCTTCTAAATCAATACTGTTGATTATGTTATTATACTGTTATTATCAGGAAAAACAAGATGAACATTGTTGTTTCATCCTGATCTGTTGTCTGACCATCTGTCTGGCCCTGCTGCAGTCTGGTGGGATGCTACACTAGGCCCTGAGACTATTGTTGTGGGTTGCAGCCAGGTAGCTCTGCCTAGCCAGCTGCCTGGGTACTGCACGTCACAGAGGCACCGCCACACTATTAATAGCTCCTGCCTTTAGATCAAGGGAATTCATTTTTAATTAGCTACAAAATGGAGCTTCAAGTTAGAGTTACAGAGTGCTGGCTTTTCCTTTTCACCTCCCCTAAGATTTAGAAGGCGTGAGAGGAGGTTGATAGAATCATTATGCCCTGCCTCTCTACCAACAGGGATCCCTGTCAGCTCAGCTGCCTCACAGACCAGCTCTGATTAATTGAGACCACCTCTCTCTCCTTCCTTTCCTCTATCTCTCTCTTCTTACAGCCTACTCACTCTCTTTCTCTCTCTTCCTCTCCCTATGTCATTGTCAGTGTTTGGCAAGGCATTCCCCTTAAGGGCTGACTGGGCTCCTCTTACATCATGAGCATGCTCTCCAGGGCCGCTTGTCGGTGGCTGGGCTGCTGAGTCATTATCCTTCTGCCTTAATTGCTCGGCTGACTCCTGATTGTTAGACAGGGTTGCATCTTATGGCTCACAAATAGACAACCCATGGTTTAGAATAAGGTCTAGTATGCCATATATCTTGGTGGTGGTCTCATAAAAATAGAATTACTTATTATTATAATTCATTATATTTATATTGTGGTCACCTCTGCCCATTGCTTTATCCAGACCCCTTGGAAGGGGTGAATGGAGCCACTGGGCATCAGGCATGGTTCTTGAAACAATTAGAAGCCTTTTAAACAGAGGCTCTGTCTGTCATGTTGGATGTGAAATACAGACTGCTGTGTTCTGTATGAACTCACTCTCTCTCAATTCAAAGGGCTTAATTGGCATGGGAAACATATGTTTACATTGCCAAAGCAAGTGAAATAGATAATAAACAATCAGAAATTATCAGTAAATATTACACTCACAAAATAGTATAGCTATGTACTTGCTGCTGTGGTGGCACACTGGTATTTCACTTAATAGTTATGGGAGTTTATCAAAATTGGATTGTTTTCAAATTCTTTCTCTAATATGGTAATACATTTGGCAGCTCAGCTTCCACCTCAAATCAAATTGTGTTTGTCACATACGCCAAATACATCAGGTGTAGACCTTACAGTGAAATGCTTACTTACAAGCCCTTAACCAACAATGCAGTTTTAAGAAATATAAGCGTTAAGAAAATATTTACTAAATAAACTCATGTAAAAAGAAAGTAACACAATAACAATAACGAGGCTATATACAGGGGGTACCGGTACCGAGTCAATGTGCGTGGGTACAGGTTAGTCGAGGTAATTGAGGTAATATGTACATGTAGGTAGAGTTAAAGTGACTATGCATAGATAATAAACAGCGAGCAGCAGCGTAAAAAAAACGAGGGGTCAATATAAATAGTCCGGGTAGCCATTTTATTAACTGTTCAGCAGTCTTATGGCTTAGGGTTAGATGCTGTTAAGGAGCCTTTTGGATCTAGACTTGGCTCTCCGGTACCGCTTGCCGTGCGGTAGCAGAGAGAACAGTCTATGACTAGGGTGTCTGCAGTCTTTGACAATTTTTAGGGCATTCCTCTGACTCTGCCTGGTATGGAAGGAAGGTTGGCCCCAGTGATGTACTGGGCCGTATGCACTACCCTCTGTAGAGACTTGCGGTCGGATGCCGAGCAGTTGCCATACCAGGCGGTGGTGCAACCAGTCAGGATGCTCTTGATGGTGCAGCTGTAGATCTGAGGACCCATGCCAAATCTTTTCAGCCTCATGAGGGGGAATAGGTATTGTCGTGCCCTCTTCATGACTGTCTTGGTGTGTTTGGACCATGATAGTTTGTTGGTGATGTGGACACCAAGGAACTTGAAGCTGCTCCACTACAGCCCCGTCGATGTGAATGGGGGCGTGCTCGGCCCTACTTTTCCTATAGTCCACGATCATCTCCTTTGTCTTGATCACGTTGAGGGAGAGGTTGTTGTCCTGGCACCACACTGCCAGTTCTCTGACCTCCTCCATATAGGCTTTCTCATCGTTTCTTGTGTCCACGTTTTCCAAAAACTCTGTTATAGCTCTGCTCTAAATTAAGATTCAACATTGTATGCTGAAAGAATGGGGTGTCAGCTAGGACATGACACCTTGAGTTTGAAAAAATCTATTTTGGTAAGTGAAGTGGATTTACACCCGGGAACGGAGTTTCATCATGGGTCCCTGATACAGTATGTACTATACAGAAATGCATAAATATGGACATGAATGTCATTCTCTTCATTACATTTTAGTCATTTAGCAGACGCTCTTATCCAGAGCGACTTACAGTTAGTGAGTGCATACATTTTTCATACTGGCCCCCCATTGGAAACGAACCCACAACCCTGGCGTTGCAAGCGCCATGCTCTACCAACTGAGCTACAAGGGGCCTTCATGATGATGTATCCTAAATAGGTACATACAGGTATAAATATACAATATCCTCCTTTGCATATTTGGATATTATTCTAAACACTGGCAATTTATTTTAATGAGCTTTGCCCCCAAACAAGACCAAATTTGCTTGGTCCAGACCAGACCAAATCTGAACCAATCATAGACATCTATGTTTCACAAGTTTGGGCATCAAAATACAGCACAGTAGAGCACAGCACAAAACAGTACAGTAGAGTTCAGTACAGAACAGTACAGTAGAGTTCAGTACAGAACAGTGCAGTAGAGTACAGTACATTATAGTGTACTCAACTCTACTGTGCTGTACTGTGCTGTCCAAACTGGTGAACCCAACTGTGGTTAGACTCTTTAAGCTTTCATTTGACACCCAATTTTATGTGCTTCTATGAACTTAGCATGTTGGTGCTCATGGGTCCTTTTCCATGGAAACGGCCTTGTGTTATTCTAGCATGGCAGTGGTGACTGTGTGTGTGAGGGGAGGGAGGGATCATTCCACTCTTTAGTGGGAATGTCAAGCCCCAGTCGCATGAGAATTAGCTAATGTCCCACCAAGGCCTCTGTCATTTCTCAGAACATTAGCCACAGGGCTTGATAAGGAGGCACTCACTATGGCCATGCAGTTCAGATTGTTTAATGGGAAGACTTCGATGTAAGGAGCCATCAGATCTTAGAGTCAACTGGAGAGTTAATGATAAGCTAGTCTATCATTTGACTGCCATTCCCACAACTATGTCTCTCACTTTATCAGTTTTCTCCTATTGCCTTTATACGACTGCATGCTCAGTCTGCCCACTATGGTGACGGAAGGGAACAAAATGTAACATAATGATGACAGCTCAATTGCACTGACATTATGCAGACCACTTCAGAGCCGCTCTAGAGTTAGAAAATGATAAAGGGTTTTCTTTTGAATTATGTATGATTGAGTTAAACCACATTGAGAGAGTTGATCACTTCTCAGACTAACAAGAGTTTATCCCCCTAGATCACAGTACAATGGAAACTCATCTTGAACAGCCTTCGGTCACATATTCACTCTCTATGATAATATCTGCATTCAGAACTTACTCTTATCTTGTTGATTTACTGTATTTGTGTGTTGTTTCTCTCTCCCCCCATAGACTTACTCTGGGCTGTTCTGTGTGGTGATAAACCCCTACAAAAACCTGCCCATCTACTCCGAGAATATCATAGAGATGTACAGGGGGAAGAAGAGACACGAGATGCCACCACACATCTACGCCATCTCAGAGTCAGCATACCGCTGCATGCTACAAGGTAAGCCTCCTCTCTCACTCGGTTTTAGGCAGTGATTGGGAGCTCCTTCCTCAGTGGTCTCTTTCCGTCTCTCTCTTTTGCTGTGACGCAACATACATAAAGTGGCTTTTGAGGGGTTTTCATGTAGGTTTGTTTTGTTTAATATAGTCTTAGACAAATAGTTTTGATAGGTTTTGATGTGTTTTGGTCTCTGCCTGGCATGTATCCTGCTGAGTTGTGGATTGCGTGGGTTTTGCTGCATAGTCCAGGAGATTAGTGTGTGAAGTGTGTGAAAGGTTCTGGAGTCAGGGAGGCATTGCCATCATTAGTCATGGTTGATCTGCCCCCCTGCCTCTGCTAGCCATAGGGGTCCAACATACTATTTATTGATGTGGATCTACTAAGATAGACAGACCATACTGTACCACTAATAGGCTACATAATGTGTAAAAGCTCAACAATAGGCGGCTTGTGGTTTCACAAACCACCAAGAGTACTGTCTATTATCTGCAAGTGCTGTACATTGGCTGCAAAGAATGAATGCCTCAATTTCAGAGCATGGCATGTATTTGTTTGCGTTAAGACAAAAAAACACCCAGGATCAAGTCTTAGGATGCTATTAACTCAACCTGTGATACTAGGGAAATGCACGAGTCACTGTTAATCTTCTTCCTTCAGTGAGAAACCTCTATCCATCTCTGGCTCCTTGGAAAGGGACACTTTTCAATAGATAGCGTGTTCAGTTTCAATGAGTTCAGAGTAACATCAGCCTTCTGAACAGTACAGTCTCTCAGTGGGTCTGGTTTTGCCTCCTCAGCTAAGTTAGATTTGATCTAGCCTGGAGCCTATCTGTCATTACAGCTCCTCAGGCTGGCCTTAAACTGGATCTATCCAGAACTGTGGCTTGCTGCTCTGGCTGTTCTGGCTGTTAGTCCTCCACCCTACAGCACTGCTGT